CCTCACCCTGCACGAGTCAGGATCGACACCGTTCAACAATAACGTTGGCTCGCGACGTTGAAGTCCCAGGAATGGTGTTCTGGCACAGTTCCAGATTTTCAAACGGCTGCCTTCCAACAGGGCACTTTCCTCAACGCAAGTATGCCTTGTCATCGCCTATGAAGGGTGTTCGGAGGGAGGGCTTTTGGATCGTCGATGGGTCTTGGATTTACCCTGGTCCTCCTCTTCCTCCTCCTCATTATCATAGTCTTCTTCCTCCTCCTCATCATCATAATCAGCATCATCAGTCATCATCATCATCATCATCATCATCATCATCATCATCATCATCATCATCATCATCATCATCATCATCATCATCATCATCATCATCATCATTATCATCATCATCAGCATCATCATCATCAGCAGCATCATCCATTTACGCTGTAGGGTTTTATCATCGGAGGGTCGCAGTGTCTCGGCGGCAGAGACTGCAACAACTCAAGAATCTACACTGACATCAACAATCGACTTGAGCGATACGGCCTCCGTACGGCTGCCAGCAAGTAGTGGAACATGAGAGGCACAGGGATCTGGCCTCCTCCTCCTCCACAGGCCCTATCAAGTCGTGGAACACCGCGACAGGCTGACAAGCTTCATTTTTCCTGCCGCTCGCGGGCCCACGGCAACCCTAACCAGGCCCCCAAACAGCCCAAGAGAACTCGGGGAGGAGCAGCTGGCCCCCGGGGGAGGGGTCGGAGGGCCGGGGGCCGCGTCCTCGTCCTCCTCAGCCTCCTCCTCATCAGATGTCGTCATCGCCACGATCGTCGTTACCATCGCCGACGCCCCCTCACCATCAGTGTGACCCTTCACCACCCATCATCATCATCATCATGGACCGCTGTGGATCCGCAGGCGGCGGATCTGCGACGCCCTCGGCCCGGGTGCTTGAACCCTGGAGCCCTGTTCCTGCGACTCCTACTCCACCTGATCAGTTTCCTCTCTCGCCTCCTCCTGCTCGTCCTCCTCCTCCTCCTGATCCGACTTGTCCTCCTCATCCTCCCCTCCTACTCGTCCTCGTTATCACATCATCCTCCTTATCATCATCATCATCATCATCATCATCATCATCATCATCATCATCATCAGCATCATCATCATCATCATCATCATCATCATCATCATCATCATCATCATCATCATCATCATCATCATCAATCATCATCATCATCATCATCATCATCATCATCATCATCACCATCATCATCGTCGTCGTCGTCATCATCATCAGCAGCAGCAGCATCATCATCATCACCACCACCATCATCATCATCAGCATATTCATCATCATCATCATCATCATCATCATCATCATCATCATCATCATCATCATCATCATTATTATCATTATCATCCTTCTTAACATCATCATCATAATCATCATAATCATAATCATCAACATCACCATCATCATCATCCTCATCATCATCGTCATCATCGTCATCATCATCATCATCATCATCGTCATCATCATCGTCGTCATCTTCATCATCAGTATCACTATCACCATCATCATCAGCAGTATCATCATCAGTATCAGCATCCGCATCAGCATCAGCATCATAATTGATCATCAACATCATCAGCAACATCAGCAGCTACATCATCATCATCATCATCATCATCATCATCATCATCATCATCATCATCATCATCATCATCATCATCATCATCATCAGCATCATCACCCTCCTCCTCCTTTTCTCTCCCTTCCCCTCTTTCGCCGCACCCCTCTCTCCTCCGCCCTTGGGCCATCATACTCCCCCTCTACCTGCCCCTCCTCCGTGCCCTCCCTATCATCATCCGCTTCTCCTGAGCCGCCTCCTGTCCCCGTCCAGAAACCTCTAGTCTCGAGACCTTCGAAACCTGACGAAAACCTCCGTATGGGGTGCCGGAAAACATCCGAACATTAGGTCGGGCATGTCCTCCTACAAGCGGATTTGGTACGAAAAGTAAAACATACTTCCAAATAGTCAAAATAGTCAAACAAAATCGCCGTCTGAATATGTTTGACTATTTTTGGATATTCCTCCTGAAGAGGGACACGCCCGACTTGATCCTAAAACCCTCGGCTTATATATGAAAACATGTGAAACGCGTGATCTTTGACGAGTCCGAACATGCTTCCATCCTCCTGCCCCCCTCCACAAAACACCATTAAACACGAGTCCGTGGACCCCTCTGGGGCGCCGCGCTGATCCGTTGTCGGAGCCGCGTCCAGTCGCGGGGACGAGGAGCTCAACGAAGACCCAGACGAGGATGAAGAGGAGCAGGGAGACGGCTGAGGACGAGGAGGATCCTCCTCCACCTCCTCGTCCTGTCACTTGTTCTGCTCCTCCGACTCTTCACACTCGGTCATCTGCCCGCGGGCCCTTTCTCCGCAGATGGATGGCGCGACGATGTTCGGGGGCGGCCAAGGGGGGGGCGTCCAACAGGGGGGATGCGAATCCCGGCCGGCGGCGTGTGCGCGGCCCAAGGGGGGGCAAGGCGCCGTGAGATCGGGGGAGATCTCATGGCCCCCGCCATGATATCTACCCCCCTCTAGTCATCAACCACGCTCGCGAGGCGCCGCAGCCCAAAGCGACGCGCGCCGAGAGAAGGCGCCGCCTCCTCCCCGCCGACGGCACCGCGGCGGCCCGCGGCAGCCCCACCGCGGAGACGGCCCAGCGACGCCGGCAGACGGTCGCCGACTTGGGAAGCAGGAAAGACGGCATGAGCATAAACGTTTGGCGCGCCGCGCGGATTTCTCGGATCTGCGCTGGGCCCCCGTCCCTGGCGCGCGGAGCGTGCCGGGGGCGGCGCCGGAGGCGCCGCTGAGGGGGGGGGACCCAACGCGGACAGTTTCCCATGCTCCTCCCCGCTGCTTCCTCCTCGTGGTGGTGCTGGATGGTCAAGGAGGGGACCTGAGGCCCGAGCCGGCCAGGGCATCGTGAGCTCGGGTCGCAACCGCGCCGCCCCCTGCCTGGACTTCTGCGCGCTGCGCTGGAGCTATTAACCGTTCCTCGAATCATCGTTTCTCCTGCTTCCTTTGCCTCCGCCCTCGTGCTCCGCGCCGCGTGCATTGCCGACTTCCTGTGCGTGGTTCCAGTCGCGTGAGTGCCGGGCCTTGTCCGACGCTCTCCGGCGAAGCTTCCAGGGGCACTGCGGAACCCACGAACAATTCTTGTGCATCGAGGGGTCTTCGCTTCGAATCCGCAGCGCCGCGCATCACCCCCTTCCGCCTCCCCCGCTCCTCCTCCTCCCTCCTCCTCCCTCCTCCCCCTTCCTCGCCCTTTCCTCCTCTGCTCTTCCTGCCCTGGCCCATGTCGGCACGCCCCTCACATTGGACGCCCGAGTTATCCGGGGTAACTCGGGTCCGGGGTAACTCGGGTTTGGGTTCCCGAAAAACAAACCCGAGTTAGCCCTGACCCGAGTTACCCCTGATGATTCGGGGCTCTGGACGCCCGAAATATCCGGGGTAACTCGGGTCCGGGGTAACTCGGGTTCGGGCTCCCGAAAAACAAACCCGAGTTAGCCCTGACCCGAGTTACCCCTGATAATTCGGGGCTCTGATCACACGCTTCGCGGCCCTAATAAGGAGCTCCGCCGAGGGCCCCAGCGGCAGGGTCCGCAGGGCGACCTCGGGCCATTGCGGTACACGTCTCGCACGATTCGCGGCCGTCCTCGTTTCCAGTGTGCGTCGTGAGAGTGCGTGTGCGAATGGACATCGGTGGCAGAGACTGTCTGGCGAAGCGTTTCACGTCTGTCGCGCTTCCGTGCAGTGAGCGGTCCCGTCTATAGTCGCCCAGTGTTAAACTCGGGCTTGGGTTTTCTCCCGGCTACTTCCTCCATCCCCCGACCGTTCTCGTGCGCCACGCTGCTGGGAAAGGGGAACTCGTAGCAACGGTCTGCAGATCCACGGATCCGTGGATCCCAGTTCCTGCGGGTTCACGCAGTTACGTATTATTATTGTATACTCATTCCAGCGAAAGAATGGGATCCACGAAGCTTCCACGAGGGCTTTGGGCGCTTGAGCGAAAGCACATGGCGAACAGCGCCCTGGAATCGTACTTTGTGTGTGTGTGTGTGCCGGCCCCTTTCTTCCAGGCCCGGCATTCACCCTGTCGTTGCGCATCATAGGATTCGTGAAGCGTGCCCTCTTCGACCGCGCTGGCACACCCGCCGATCCGTGAGTCCAGCGCACACCCTGGAATTGCACCCCAGAGGATTTGTCAACCGTGCAACCGTGCCCTCTTCGACCGAGCCGAGGCACCAGAGGATATGAATCGCAACGGGCGGCTGCCGGTTCGCAGTGCTGTTCGGTGTCGTGGCCTCGTTGCGTCACCGTACGGGTGCTGACTTAACCAGCCCCCTTTCACCGACCCCCCTGGGTTTGGCTTCCCCTATTTTTCACCCCATTTCTCATCTTCTTCGGGTTTTCTCTCTCCGGGTTTCTGCCCCCCCTCCCTGGGACGGGAAGGGTGGAAGAGAATCCTTCCGCTCCCTGCAAGAATCCCCACCACCCATGGCGTAGTACGTGCGACGCCACACGGGGTGGCACGTCCATCCACCTTTCCGCTTTAAGGGGGTGGTGAAGCCCGTGGACGGGACGGGGTTCGCACTGCAGGACACCATAAGTCCTTCAAAAACCAATGGTTGGCACCGTCAGCCTACCACAACCATCGAAGGTACATGCCAAATGTTCTCCACAGCTCATGCCTCTTCCATAGCCCGTGAAATTTTCTCAACTTGAAATCTCAAATTCTCCAGCCGTGCACGAGGGCTCTCCAGGACGAGCAGCGGCAACGGCACCATTTTCCTTCTCTGAAAGTCTTTAAGAAGAAACACGGCACAAACATTAACTTTTAGCGCTCCATGAGGACGACAGGATGAGAACGGGGGGAGGGGCAAAAGGAGGGGGAGGAGGAATATCAGGCTGTTCCCTCCTCCTCTCGGTTGCCCTCCCCTCCCAGCTTTGCCGTGTCGCTGCTCATGATCTCGATGGCCTTGCTTATCGCCTCGATCTCCTCTGCGCGCAGCTGCTGCCTCCGAACGCCCACACGGAGCCCCTCAAGTGAACTGCCCTGACTCCATCGGATTGGGGCGAGGGTGGGAGGAGGGAGAGGGCAACTGACGAAGGGGGAGGAGGAAGAGGAGGAGGAGGAGGAGGAGGAGGAGGAGGAGGAGGAGGAGGAGGACGACGAGGAAGAGCAGTTGGAGGAGGGGTGAGGAGGAGGGCTCTGGGATTCCATGGGCTGCTGCAGGATGCTTACGAGGGATCCCTTAGGAGAAACAAAACATACTTATTGAGGAAGGAGGGAGGAGGGAGAAACGCAGAGGGAAGAGGGAGGGGCGAGGGGAAGGAAAGGGAAGCCAGAAGAGAGGTCTTGGAAAGCATGAGCATGTTTCAGAAATGTCTGGGGGGGGGGGGTACGGGAAGTTCGGATGAGGGAGGAGGGTGAGCAGGGAAAGGAGGGAGAGGGGGGCAGGGCGGAGGGAGAAGCAAGAGGGAGACAGGGGCCTCGGCCTCCTCCCTCTCCTCCTGTACCCTCTCCTCTCCCTCCACTACCCCCCTTATCCCCTCCCCCCCTCTTCCGCCCCTCTTCCCGCAGGTCTCTCGAGGCCCCGAAGCACGAAAAGGGCCAACACGTTCCAAGACAACTACATCACCCCCCTCGGCCCTGGACACGGCCTGAGTTGCCGAACGGCCTCCCCACAGAGCAAGAGGAATGCCTGCATCGCTCTCCCCCTCCTCCTCCCTGCTCCGTTCTCCTCCCCCTCCCCCTCCCCAGCATCCTCCTCCTCCTCCTCCTCTTGCTTCACCTCCATCGCCATCCTCATCACCCGGTGGAACAGTGTAAATATCAGCTTGTTCGAAAACTACCAGGCTGAATGAGCTAGTCCTCTGCCGAAATGGGCGATCCCTATGTTCTAGGAGTGAAGGAAGCGTGCAGAAAAATGTGGTCGGCACCTTTGAGAGTGACTTCGGAGATCCTCCCCCTACCTCCTCCTCCTCCTCCTACTCCTCCTCCTCCTCCTCCTCCTCCTCCTGCTCCTGCTCCTGCTCCGCCTCCTCCTCCTACTTGCTCCTGTTCCCCTGGCCATCCCGAAGGGGAACACCAAAAATACCAGTGCTGCTACTCCCTGGACCGCTACCAGGGTGCATTCTGCCCAGAATGTCGAGGAGAGTACAGCCGCGACGCCCGAGGCTCTCCAGGACGAGCAGCGGCATCGGCATCTTCTCCTCGGACATCGCGTTTTTTCTCAACGTGGCTCCCCAAAGGTCTGAGCCCATTTCCGTGACCCGATGTTCGTCCCAAGTCGTTTCTGGACGATCCTGGGGCCTGGCGAGGGCCCCCAGGCGCCGAAAAAAAATTCCCCGTCGAGTTTTTGTCACACCGAGAGGATATCAGGGTCCTCCTCCTCGTTCTCCCCCTCCTCCCCAGAACAGTGGACTGGGTAGGGCTGGCAAGGGCGGCTCAACAGGGGGCAGTGTGCGCGCGACGCCCAGCCGGCCTCTGCTCGAAGTCGGAGGCCTTCTGCTCGCACTGGGCGGTCAGGTCCGAGAGGTACTTCTCGTCGGCCTCGCGAGGGCGAACGACGACTCGGACGGACGGAGAAGGGAGGCGGAGGGAGAAGGAGGAGGGAGGAGGGAGGGGAAGGGGGAGGGAGGAGGGACGGGGAGGGACGAGGGAGAGGAAGGGAAGAGGGAGGAGGAGGAGGAGGAGGAGGAGAAGGAGGAGGAGGAGGAAGAGGAGGAGGAGGAGGTGGAGGAGGAGCAGGATGAGGAGGACGAAAACTATCTGTTTGGACTGGTTGACCAAGCACAGGAGGTGGCGCGGGAAATGGGACGGACTGCTCTCGCCACCCTCGCCGGCCACATGGTCTGAACGGCCTTCGGCGCCCCCTCCCGGAGGAGTAGAATGGAGGGGATGAAAGCTGAGAAAAAAAAGGAGGAGGAGGAAGAGGAGGAGGGGGATACGGAGGACGGGGATGAGGAGGGAAGGGGAGGAGGAGGACGGGGAGGAGGAGGACGGGGAGGAGGACGGGGAGGAGGAGGAGGACGGGGAAGGAAGAGGGAATAGGAATTGAGAATGGAAAGGCACCTCCGCCTGTATTATTCCCCGTGCTTCTCATCGTCATCATCAGCAGCAGCATCATCAGCATCATCATCAGCAGCATCATCATCATCCGCATCATCAGCATCATAATCATAATCATCATCATCATCACCACCACCATCATCATCATCATCATCATCATCATCCTCATCATCAACATCAGCATCATAATCGTCATCATCAACATCAGTATCAGCACCCTCATCATCATCATTATCATCACCAGCAACATCAGCACCATCAGCATCGTCATCATCATCACCACCATCACTATCACCAAGATCATCATCAACATCGTCATCGTCATCATCACCGTCATCATCATCATCATCATCATCATCATCATCATCATCATCATCCTCATCCTCATCCTCATCCTCATCCTCATCTCACTCCCAGCACTTCTCCTTCGTCACATTTCTCTTCGTCCTTCCCCTTTCCTTCCTCCGTCCCCCTCCACCCTTCGCCCACGCCTCCACCATCCCTCGTCACTCCCCCCGCGCACGCTGGACCGCGCGATGGGGGGAACGAGGGCGAAGGATGCAGAAGGGATCGCGATGATGAAGAGATATAGGGAGGGAGGAGGAATGAATGCGGCAGGAGTGGACGAGGGGGAGGCGGAAGTGAACAAAAATTCGGCACCACTCGAAATGCTTCGTAAGGGTCCGGGTGTTCTCGGTAACTTTCGGAAGTCCCGAAGGGTTCTCGAAAGGCTTCCTGAGGTTTCGGAAGGGGGGGACGTGGGGGGGATGGAGGAGGCAGGGAGGTAGGAGTGAGACCTCCTAACTCCCCAGAGACATGAAGAATCCAGAGAACTGACAGAACTCTTCGAGCATCGCCGAACACTAACGATAAACGCGTAAAGCACAGAAGTGCTCCTCCTCCTCCTCGTCGTCATCATCGGCATCACCATCATTACCACCACCAGCATCATCATCAACCCCATCACCATCACCACCACCACCACCACCATCATCATCATCATCATCATCATCATCATCATCATCATCATCATCATCATCATCATCATCATCATCATCGTCATCATCATCATCATCATCATCATCATCATCATCATCATCGTCATCGTCATCATCGTCATTATCATCATTATCATAATAATCATCATCATCAACAGCATCATCATCAGCATCGTCATCATCATCATCATCAACAGCATCATCATCAGCATCGTCATCATCATCATCATCAGCATCATTATCGTCATCATCATCTTCATCACCACATTCACCACCACCACCACCATCATCATCATCATGATCCTCATCATCATCATAATCATCACCGTCATCATCATCATCATCATCATCATCATCATCATCATCATCATCATCATCGTCATCGTCATCACCAACATCGTCCTCATTATGACACACTCACCCTGAGAAGTGGATCTGGTCAACAACGAATGACACGCGCCGGTTCTCACATGCTGCCACGCCTTGCCCCCGCCAGCTCGCTCGCATCGCCCTCCGCCTCCGCGGCGGCGATCGGCTTCTGCAAAAGCTCGTCCTCGCGGCACTTCTCGGCCGCCTCGCCCCTCCTCCCGGGAAATGATTGCCGGCCCCGCTTGCAAGCTCGGGCGCCCGTGGCGCGACTGCATGCCCCGCGGCCTCCGAGCCCAACGACGGGAGGACGCCGTCCGCCTCCGCGAACAGCGTGGCCCTCCGTCGCCACCGCCCGCCAGGCGCGTGCCACGCGCTGAGGCCCCTGGCCACTGCCGCGCGCTGCCCAGCGCGACGCCTCCTCCAGCATGCCATCGCTCTCCGCATGGCGCCGGCCGAAGGCCTCCTGGGACAGAGCCGTCACAGATGGGCCGTAGCGCCGTGCCCTGTCCTCAACGCCCACGCGCGCGGCGACGCCAGCCGAGGCGTCAGCCCGCGCGCCCGCGCTCGGCCTTCGGACGCCAGCGGCGAGCGGACTCCGGCGTCCCGCCTCCACTGGCGCAGTTCCCACGGGCACGCGGCCACGATATCCACGATCGCCTCCTTGCACATCAGGGCCTGCTGCCGCTCCCCGGCCCGCGCCCGCTCCGGCACCTGCCATTGACAGGGCTCCGGCACGTGGCGCGCCTCGTCCAAGGCGTAGCCAGCGCGTCGCAAGGCCTTGAACAGCGCCCTGATGATGCACAGGTGTGGTCGCTGCCTGCCACCCTGCTTTGCGCAGCGCCACGCGTGCTGGAGCCGGGCGCAGCGCTTCCCACAGGCCTCGTCCGCGGTGCCATCGCACCGGCAGCACACGAGCGCTCCGCCGACAGTCAGGAAGCAAAGGGGCCCTCGCGCGGCGGTCAAGAAATTGACGTCTGGAAGCAAGTCCTCCGTCTCCTGGGGAATGTCACGCAAGACGCAACCTGCACCTGGCCCGCCTGCGCTCAGCATCACCAGCTTGCGGTGCATCAGCCTCGTGCCACAGGTGCGTCGCCTGCAAGGCATGCCGATGACGTTGGACCTGGCTCAACACTTTCTGTCCTCGCACGTCGAGATCTCCAGTGCAGGGTGCACCGGGCGCGCAGGCGCGCGCGTGAGCTGCTCAGGGCTGGCGTCCGCGACCCACGGCCCAGCCACGTGCTCCGTAACCTGGTTCGCTCCGAAGTGAAGAGGCCGCACTCATCGACCAAGCCGCGCCGCTGCAGGCACGGCTTCGCGCGGTCTGCATGTCCACGCGGTGCCTCGAGCCGCACGCTCACACCCAGCTGCTTCGCGAGCAACCAGGTGCGAACGCTGCAGAGCCAGGCCCACGCCGCGGCAGCGGCCGGCCTGTTCGCCGCAATCCGCTGCGACTCCCAGCCGTCCGTACTGTCGGCAGCGCCGAGGCGCACCTGTGGCCCAGTCGTCCGGCCCTCCCAGCAGCGCTGCTGCCGGGTGCTCGCCGGGGATGCGCTCGATGCGCTTCAAAGGCATCACGCGGAGGTCGTAGCCAATAGCGTGCACCGCGCTTTTTGGCTGAGCATGAAGAATACCACGTGCCGGGCCTTGGTGCTGGAGGCCTTGTGCGCAGAGTCAAGTGCGCGCCCGAGCAAGCGCCGCGCCCTCAACTCTCGCCTCTTGTCTGCGACGCACCGACAGTGACCCAGGCTTCCGCATCGCTGCGCGCGGTCCCCCCCCCCAGCATCAGGATGCCGCCGCGCGGGCGCGGGGCCGCGGCGATCAGCCCCCTCCGCTTGGGTGAAGGCCGCCTCATCGTCGCACAAAGCCTCTGCTGTGATCAGCCAGATTTGGGACGTCGTTTGGTTTATCTCCGTCCCTCCTTCGCGGAGCGCCTGTCGCACCGGTGGCCGGTGCGAGTCCGCGCCAGTCGTGTCCAGCAAGACGCACTGGTCGTCCTGGCACCCGAGGCGTGCCACATACGCTTTGCCGCCTCTCGCTGCCCGCTGCCCAGCGCCCTCTGCCTCCATGCCCTCGTACAGCTCCTCGACCCCAGGCACCAAACATGCAGGGACCGACCACAACGATGTTGAGAACGAGATGGGGTTGACAACGAACCACGAAACCAAGCCCAAGGTTCAAAACAAACGTTCAAAACGACGCCGGCGCAAACCGAAAATGAACGACGAAACGGGGCGTCTAAAACAACAACGAACAACGAAAGGAAACAACAACAAAAAACGAAACGAAAAACAAGGGCCCAGACCAAGCTAAACAGCGTTATGGTCGGTCCTTGCAAGCGTGACCTGCATGAGTCTGGAGCCGTGCCAGCCGCCCGAGGTCGTGCAGAGTTCAATCCAAGCTCCGTCTCGCCTCGGCCATGCCTTCACGTCGCCGTTCTGCCACTGCGCCGCTGCGAGCCTCGCAATGGGCTTGCTGCGCCTGGCCGCGCCCCTGAGGCAAGCGCGCTCCGGTTGATGAGGCCGTACCCGTTGGCTATGTCAGTGCTGAGCAGCGCGTATCGTGTGTCTGGCTTCTCGCCCTAGCTTGCCGCCTGAGGCTCTTAGTGATCTATGTCCCCAGCGGCAGCCCGCACGAAGTATACCATGAGCGCCTGCTGCGCGTCCGGCGTCCTGCACGCCATCTGCTTGGGCTGCAGCGCGCGCACCACGTTGCTGCAGCCCTGCTGCAGGACGACGCTCTCCGCGTATCTGGTAAGCGCATCGGTCATGGCGAGCGTGCGCAGCTTACACGTGGCGCGCTGCCCAAGCAGCGGCGCGGTCGCCATCCGCATCGTGCCCGCGTCCGCTGGCACGACGACGGCCTGCGTCCACAGGTCGGCAGCCGCTGGGGGCACAGCGCCTTGCCCCCACATCGTTGCCCACCGGCACAGCGCTGACAACCCGCGCTCATCCTTGGCGAACCCGGCGATGAGCCTGTTGCGCATGGAACTAGGTTCCGGCACGGCAGAGACGACGATGACGATAACGACGATGACGATAATGCTGATGGTGACGATGAGATGGCGAGGAAGATGACGATGGCGATGATCGTCATCGTCATCAACATCGTCACCATCATCAGCATCATCATCATCAGCATCATCACCGCCACTATCAGCATCATCATTAGCATCATCACATCACAACCATCCGCATCATCATCAGCACCATCGTCGCCTTCTTCTTCTTCATCATCATCATCATCATCACCATCAGCATCAGCATCGTCGTCATTATCCTCCTCATCTTCCTCCTCCTCGTCATCATCAGGATCATCATTATTATGATCATCATCATGGTCATCATCATCATCATCATCATCATCATCATCATCATCATCATCATCATCATCATCATCATTCTCATCCTCATCATCATGATCATGATCATCATCATTATCATCATCAGTATCATCATCATCACCATCATCATCATCATCATCCTCATCCTCATGATCATCATCATCATCATCACCACCACCACCACCACCACCACCACTACCATCATCATCATCATCATCATCATCATCATCATCTTCATCATCATCGTCATCGTCATCATCATCATCATCATCATCATCATCATCATCATCATCATCATCATCATCATCATCATCATCTTCGTAATCATCATCATCGTCATCATCGTCGCCGTCATCGTCATCGTCGTCATCGCCATCGTCATCGCCATCATCACCCTCGCCTGGCGGCGGCCGACAAAACGTCTCGCCTGCCGCTCCTCGGCGCGCAGGCGCTCCTGCGCCTCGGGCGGAGCCTTTGCAAGCTCGTCACCAGTGAGCTCGTCATCTGGGACCCTCCGTTGCCCGCGGAGCATGGCCACGGCCAGGCGAAGCCCGCCTCCGCCGCAAAAGAGGGTCTCGTCGCTGTCCCATAGGTCATCGCGTCATCATGCTAATAATAATAAGAATAATAATAATAATAATAGTAATAGTAATAAAAATAGTAATAATAAGAATGATGATGATGATGATGATGATGATGATGATGATGATGATGATGATGATGATGATGATGGTCATCATTATCATTATCATCCTCATCATCAGCATCATCATCATCATCATCATCCTCGTCAACATCATCATCACCACCACCATCGCCAGCACCATCACAATCATCATCATACTCATACCAAACATCATCAGCTACATCCTAAGGATCATCATCATCAGCAACATCATCATCAGCGTGAGCATCATTATCAACACGGTCACCATCATAATCGTCACCATCTTCACCATCACTATCATCATCATCCTCCTCCTCCTAATCATCATCCTCATCCTCATCATCAGCAGCAGCATCATAATCAGCATCCTTATCATCAGCATCATCATATGCATCCTCATCGTCGTGGTTGTCATCATCATCATTATCGTCATCATCATCATCATCATCATCGTCACCATCGTCGTCGTCGTCGACGTGGTCAGCATCATCATGTTCATAATCATCCGCATCGTCATCAGTATCAGCATCAGCAGCAAAACCATCAGCATCATCATCATCATCATCATCTGCATCATCATCATCATCATCATCATCATCATCATCATCATCATCATCCTCACCATCACCATTACCATTATCATCATCAGCCTCATCATCATCATCATCATCATCATCATCATCATCATCCGCATCATCATCATCATCAGTATCAGCATCATCATCATAATCAGCATCGTCATCATCATCGTTGGCATCATCATCGGCAGCCTCATCACAAGCATCAGCAACATCATCGTCATCAGCATCCCCAGCATCACCACAGTATTCAACACCATCATCATCATCATCCGCATCATCATCATTGTCATCATCATCATCAGGAACATCAGCTTCAACATAATCGTCATCATCAACACCACAATAATCATCATGATCATCATGATCATCATCATCAGCATCTGCATCATCACAAACCGCCTCCTAAGCAGCAGCATCATCACCATCTGCATCATCAGCATCATCATAGCATCACCACCACCATCAGCATCATCATTAGCATCATCATCTCCATCCTCATCACCATGATCGTGATAATGATCATGATCATGATCATGATCATGATCATCATAATCGTCATCGTCACCATCATCATGAATGCCATCATCATTCTGAGCCTAGCCTATCCAGAACTCCGACGACTGATGCCTGGAGCCCTCGACCCCAATTGCCAAGACAACCTGTTGATTCGGAATCTTTCTGACGGTCCAGGGCGGTAGGAAGAGGCTCCCGGATGCCGAAAACATGAAGCTGCATAGACCATGACATGTCGCCCTGACAAGCCGAACATTGTGAGAAAGCTCGGGCGCGAACTTCAGGGCCAGGGTCCCCCAGACCCGGAGCGCGTTCTTACCAGAACCTTGCGGCGGAGCCAGCCGTGACGACGAGGACGCTCGAGGAGGAAAGAGAACACATACAAAGAACGCCCGGGGGCGGCGGTCCGCCACCTCCCTCTCTGTAGCCTGTTCTCCCCGGCACCCCCGGGGCCACCGGAAGCCTCTGGAGGTCCCGGACGGCGACTGCTCCTGGAGCCGGCAGGCCTCCCGCTGCCCCTGGAGGCCCCCTGGGGGCCCCCTGCGGAGCGCCCGCCCGCTCGCCTGCCGCCCGCTCGCCCGGCAGCCCGCTCGCCCCGAGACCCATCGCCTGGAAGCCGGGCCCCCTCACCCGGAAGCCCGCTCGTCCAATCGCCGGCCCTCGCGGGCGGGACGGGCGGGCGAGCCCACGGCGGGCGGGTCGGGCGGGCGGGCCCATGGCGGGCGGGTCGGGCGGGCTTCTGCTTCGGAGCGGTCTCGGCCTGAGGCTTCAAGAAAGCGTCAGAAACGTGGCCCGAAAACCTCGGCCCTCGTCCCTTCCCTCCTAGATTCTAACCCCTCGGGTGGGTCCCTCGGCCTCGAGGGTCGTGCTGGCGTCCGTCAGCTGGCCACCAGCGTCTGCCTTCGCCTGCAATTTCTTGGCCTCCGCGCGCTCGCGGGCTGCTGGGAGGCGCAGCTCAGCCCCCGCCACTGCCGTGACTTCCACCTCCCTGCTCGAGGAGAGGGCAGTTGCTAGCGTCTGAAGCTTCTGGAGACCTCCAGGAATGCCGTTCTGGACGCAACGGTCACATAGATCCGCGGTGTGGAAGGCCCAAGATTGGTTTCGGCACGCTGGGAGGTTCTCAAACGACTGCCAACTAATTATTCATTTCCCGCAATGAAAGACATGCTTGTATGGACCTGCGAGGAGGAAACTTGGAGGGCGGGTTCATTGCAACAAGATTGATGCGTCTGGGGATTACACTAAAGCACACTCCTCCTAGTCCTCATCATCCAATTCCTGCTCCTCCTCCTCCTCTTGTTCCTTCTCCTCCTCTTCCTCCTCCTCGTCCTCCTCCTCCTCCTGTTCCGTCCTCCTCCTCCTCCTTCCTCCTCCTGCTCCTCCCTCCTCGTCCGTCCTCCTCTTCCTCCTCCTCCTCCTCCTCTTCCTCTGCCTCCTGCCTCCTGCTCCTGCTCCTGCCTCCTCCTCCTCCTCCTCCTCCTCCTCCTCCTCCTCCCCTCCTCCGCCTCCTCCTCCTCCTCCTGTTCCGTTCTCCTCCTCCTCCTCCTCCTCCTCCTCCTCCTCCTCCTCCTCGTGATCCTCTCCCTCATCCTTCAGAATTCATCCTCCCCCTTTCGCCTCCATGCTCCTCGTCCCGCTTCCTGTGTCGCGGTAGCCCTTGGAAGCGACAACAGGCCCAAGTGGGGGTGCCTGCATGCGGTTCCCCCACCCAGGGCAGCGTTTCGTGGCCCCATAGGGAGCTCCACCGTAGGCCCAAGTGGGGGGGTCCGCATGCGGTTCCCCCCACCCAGGGCAGCGTTTCGTGGCCCCATAGGGAGCTCCACCGTAGGCCCAAGTGGGGGGGGTCCGCACGCGGTTCCCCCACCCAAGGCAACGCTTCGTGGCCCCATAGGGAGCTCCACCGTAGGCCCCAGTGGGGGTGTCCGCATGCGGTTTCCCCACCCAGGGTAGCGTTTCGTGGCCCCATAGGGAGCTCCACCGTAGGCTCCAGTGGGGGTGTCCGCATGCGGCTCCCCCACCCAGGGCAGCGCTTCGTGGCCCCATAGGGAGCTCCACCGTAGGCCCCAGTGGGGGTGTTCGCACGCGGTTCCCCCACCCAAGGCAGCGTTTCGTGGCCCCATAGGGAGCTCCACCGTAAGCTCCAGTGGGGGTGTTCGCATGCGGTTCCCCACCCAGGGCAACGCTTCGTGGCCCCATAGGGAGCTCCACCGTAGGCCCCAGTGGGGGTGTCCGCATGCGGTTCCCCCACCCAGGGCAGCGTTTCGTGGCCCCATAGGGAGCTCCACCGTAGGCCCCAGTGGGGGTGTCCGCATGCGGTTCCCCCACCCAGGGTAGCGTTTCGTGGCCCCATAGGGAGCTCCACCGTAGGATCCAGTGGGGGTGTCCGCATGCGGCTCCCCCACCCAGGGCAGCGTTTCGTGGCCCCATAGGGAGCTCCACCGTAGGCCCCGGTGGGGGTGTTCGCATGCGGTTCCCCCACCCAGGGCAGCGCTTCATGGCCCCATAGGGAGCTCCACCGTAGGCCCCAGTGGTGGTGTCCGCATGCGGCTCCCCCACCCAGGTGGCCCCATAGGAGCTCCACCGAAGGCCCCAGTGGGGGTGCCCGCATGCGGTTCCCCCACCCAGGGCAGCGTTTCGTGGCCTCATAAGGAGCTCCACCGAAGGCCCCAGTGGGGGTGTTCGCATGCGTGTCCCCCACCCAGAGCTAGCGCCACCGAAAACGATATTCATATTTGCGGTCTGCACAACTGCATATGGTTGGGTCCTTCGCCAGGCTAACTTTCTCTCTCTCTCTCTCTCTCCCTATTGTTGTAGTTATCCGTCTCTCTCGAACACATGAAGCAGAAGACAAAAGGCGGGCCAGCTGGCAGAAGCAGGGTGCGAGGTGGAAGCGTCATCTCGCCAGTTCGGCACGGCGACCTCCAAGAGGCAAGGGCGACCCCACCGAGGAGGAGGAGGAGGAGGAGGAGGAGGAGGAGGAGGAGGAGGCGAGGAGCGTCTCTCTCTCTCTCTCTCTTTCTTTCACTCTCTTCTCGGGCGGGGGCAGGGGGGGGGAGCGCGAAAAAGGGCAATCCACGGCGCTCCGGGGGCAACCGGGCCCGGGCAAGGTCGGTCGGCAGCGGCCCCTGTGGGCGCGAGGCCACACCGCCCGGAGCGTCGCTCCGGACAAAAAAGGGAAGCACACAAAAAATGGAGGAGGAGGAGGAGGAGGAGGAGGAGGTTGGAGCGTCTGGGGAGAGGAGGAGGAGGAGGAGGAGGAGGAGGACGACGACGACATGACGACCGAACTGCATGTGAGGGCGGAGGGCGGGAAGGGGGGAGGGCGGCTGAGCGAAAGGGGTCACGGGGGGGGTTGTCGCGGCGGTGGTCCTGGCGGTGCTGGTCGTCGTGACAACGATCGTGAAGATCGTGGTCGCCCTGGCGGTGGTCGTGGTGGTCGCGACGGTCGTGCTGGTCGTGATGGTCGTGGCGATAGAAGTTGGTGTGGGAGTATTGGTCGTCGTGGTCGTGGTGATGGCTGCGAAGGTGGGCTGGAGCGGGCTACGGCGATGCCCTTTGGAGGTTGAGGACCAGCGTCCGACCCGCCTGGCCAGAACTCGCACGCCGCAGGCCCAGGGGGTAGGGCTGCCGCGCTGCCCCGTGAGGAGCAAAAGCCGCTGCGGCCATGCTGTCCCGCACGGCCGGAACCCACCCTCTACGTCCTTTCCCGCGGCGTTGCCTAAGGCGCCCGCGCGGCCCCCTGAGCTGCGCAGAGAAGCATCTCAGCGCTGCCGAAGGCCAAGCGACGCTGGACCTTCCGCCTAGTCGCGGAGATCACAACCGACCGCTCGGCCTCTCCAGCGAATCCCCTCCCGACGGGGGGGTAGCGCGTCTGTTTTCTGTCGACGCGCATGGGCACCTGCCACCCCATCCGCGCGAGCCCTGGTCTGCCTGCGGGCGTTGCCGCCGCTGTGTTCGGCTGAGCAGCCCACGTAGATGAAGGCGTTGAGAGCAGGGTCGTGCGTGGCCTCGTCGAGGGCGGCCTCCTCGCACACCCCCGCGTCGGGAAACTGCCGGTCCCAGGCAGGGGCGCCTTGCTCGGTGGTGGCCCAGTGGCCAACTTAAGCGTAGTGATCTTCCGCACTCCAGTCCCGCAGGGCCGGTAAGCCCTGCTGCCCCGCACCGCCTGCTTGCGATGCTGGCAGCGTGCGCCGGGGGCGCATACGTCTGAACTGAGACCCGCGCTCCGGCTTGCCGAGACGTGATGGTCCGGGAGGGGCGCGTCGCCCCCTTCGCGCAGGAGGAGCCAGGCCCCCGCCCCTGGGCCTCCGCCCCATGGCAAGGGCGAGCTGGGCCTCCTCGCCCAGCGGGCTGGAGGAGCCGCGCCCTCTTGGCAGCGGAATGACCTTCTCCCCCGGCGCCGCTGCAGCTTGGTCTTCGACTCGACCGAGGGAGCCGCACAGTCCGAAGGCTCCGCCTTCGCCCCTGGCCCGCCGAGCGCCGCCCCGGCGCGGTGCGCCAGGTCCCCCCCGTGCGGGGCAGCGGGCCCAGACGGCCTCCGCCGACCTGGCTGCGAGGCAAGCCCGTGCGCTCTGGAGGCAGAAGGCGCAACTCTCGAGATGAGCGCGGACGGCGGTCCAGGGTCCAGGGGAAGCCCGTGCCGCCGTCGGAAAAAGGCGAAGGCGGGCCGAGCTTTCTGCTCGCTGCTTCGGGGCCCAGTGAGTTCGGCGCGAGCCCCGACGAGCAAGCCGTCGAGCTTCCCCGCCGAAACGGTTTCGTGGCTGGCGGGCAGCAGGTGGGTGCACAATCCATGGGCGTAAGTGCGACGCAGCGAGCGGGCTCCTTCCGCCGAGAGTCTGCTTTGGCGCAGCGTCCCTTGGTGACCCAGGCAGTGGCGCTTCTTGCCCAGGACCTCCCGCCTGTCGACGCCAGCCAGGAGGGGCAGCCTGGCGTCGTCGCCTCCGTCGTCGCGGTCGTACCAGGCGACCGGATTGCCAAGTACGGACAGCGTTGCAGTCCGTAGTGGCACGAGCCCCTCTATCTCTAAGTATATATCTCTGTCTGTCACTGTACCGCTGTGTGTGTCTCTCTCTTTCTCTCTCTACCTCTGTCCCTGTGTATATATCTATATATGTATACATGCTATTCGTTTGTTGTCATCTCTTTCTCTCTCGTTTTTCCCCCAACCATCCTGGTGTTGGGTCCTCGTTTCGCAGAGACAGCGCCCCGCGTCACCTCACCTCACCTCCGGCTGCCCCCTCCCCCTCCTCCCTCCTCCCATCACTTGCCTCTGCTCTCCGCATGCCCATCCCTCCACCGAAGGCCCCAGCGGCAGGGTCCGCATGCGTCCCCCCGCCCATGTCGGACACCCCTCACAAGGATAGTGGCCCCATAGACAGCTCCACCGAAGGCCCCAGAGGCAGGGTCCGCATGCGTCCCCCAGCTCATTTCGGCACACCCCTGACGAGGATAGTGGCCCCATAGACAGCTCCACCGAAGACCCCCGCGGCAGGGTCCGCATGCGTCCCCCCGCCCATTTCGGCACACCCCTGACGAGGATAGTGGCCCCATAGGGAGCCCCACCAAAGGCCCCAGCAGCAAGGTCCGTATGCGTCCCCCCGCTATTTTCGGCACGCCCCTCACGAGGATCGTGTCCCCATAGGGAGCTTCACCGAAGCCCCCCGCGGCAAAATCCGCATGCCCCCCCCTCCGCCCAATTCGGCACACCGCGCACGAGGGTCGTGGCCCCTTAGGGAGCTCCACCGAGAGCGGTACCCATAACGCGGCACTCACAAGTGCATATGGCTGGGTCCTTCGCCAGGTTCTTTGTTTTGTTGTTCCTCTCTCTCTGTCTGGAAACATAGACAAGTATGGAAGTAAGTTCACATGCATGGTTCCTCCCCGCCCCTACCCTCCAATATCCTCCCCTCCCTTTAGCCCCT